CTCTCCCTCTCTTTCCCTCCCCCCCCCCCCCCCCCGCCTCTTTCTCTCTCCCCCTCTTCCACTCTCCCTCCTTGTCTGTGTGGGTCGATGCCTGTCTTTCTTTCCCTCCTTTTTGCCTCGTCTCTCTGCTCGCGGCTCCTGTCCCTCCGACGCTCGGGAAGACCATCCTAACAGCCATATCCACCTCCTCCCCTCTCTCCGGCGCTCGTCCAGAACTATTCGCTGGCCGAGTCGTCCACCAACAACTACGTGCGCCTCTACCTCCCACATGCCATCTGTCACATAATGCCCCCCTCCCCCCCTCACTTTCTTTGACTCACGCGCATGTGCATTTTTCACACGCATGACTGCCCAAACGTGCCTACACAGAGCCTTGCCCTCATGTCGGACAATGGGGACTCTTCCGACGATGCGGATGCCGAGCACACCGGCGACGAGGCCGAGTCCTGTCAGTACAGCTACTCAACCTTCCATTTCATCTTCGCCCTGGCGGCACTCTACATGTCGATGCTCCTGTCGGATTGGGGCGCCATCAATCTGTCTGGCGCGCCGATCTTCATCGGCCACGAGTGGCTTGGCATCTGGATCCGCATCGTCACCAGCTGGATCGGGTATGGCCTCTTCAGCTGGACTCTGGTTGCGCCAATCTTCCTGCCAGACCGCTTCAGCTTTACATGAGTGCATGTGCATGTGCATGTGTGGTCCAAGGGCCCCTCTCGCGCACCCTCCTATCTTGGCACAGATGATGTCGAGAGGAGAAAGAAAGAAACCCCATCAATAAATTACGACGCCCCTGTTTTCCTTTCCCTCCGTTCGAGTGGCCCCTCCCTTCGTGTTTCTGGCCGCCGGCGCCGAAGCCCGGGCATTCAATTAAGACGATCACCAGGCCCGGTCGAGTTAACCCGTGTCATGCAGGCCCGAAAGTGCGTATGCATATCCGGTACTCCAGATTGTGAAGTTCGCGTGATGAGCATAATGATGTTCTGCCATTGCTTTTCGTGAAATTCCCCGTCTGCTCGTCAGGGACGGGTCATGCAGCGCCGGTCTTCTTTCACCCACGCACGCGCAAACGAAAAGGCAAATGCGCCGTATGTTTTTGACGGCGGGCTCGGCGGTGGATGTCTGCGTGTGCATGTGCGCATAAATGTGCATCACAATCGATCCAAAGATGTGGTATCCAGACCGATCCCCGGAGTAATCCGGCGCGGATCCCGCGCGCGACCTCGGGGCCAACCAACTGTCCGCCCCGGGCGGG